GGGGGGGGGGGGGGGGGTAAATGGTTATCCGGGACAACTTTTTTTGTGTCGGAAAACAAGATCTATTTCAGGTTGTCATTRCTGATCTGAGGTCATTTTGCTGTGAGGAAAAAAACCAAAAAGTTGTGTGTATTGAGGACGTGAGAAGATCAGTATCTCTGGTGTTATAGAATGATCCGGTTTTTCATCTACCGTCAAAGAGATAACGTTGCTGATGTCAGCATGTAGGATTGTCACATCCAGATAATCTTACAAAACACAAAAAAATGACTGCAACTCAATCAGTTTTACAGATAACGAGTTAAAGTTCTGTTTGGAAGTATTTAAACAGCTGGCTATGAACACATATTGAGCAACATTTTCATTTAATATAATGACAATAATTGCTGGTGTMACCTCTACCTGTTTGTTAGTAAAATATCTAATGAACCAATAGATGGATCTTCAATGAAACTTTCACAAAGTAATCAATAGATGTGCATTTACAATGTATTAACTTTTGGAATTGGCCTAATTTATGAAGGCTACATAAATAACTGTGGTCAGCCAAAACCAATTTAGTCAATTTTAMACATTTTTAGAGCTAAACATCTCACCAAGTTAAACAATATTACATGATATCACACRAGGTCCTTTATGAGAATGGACCAAATTGGCATCTGATTATTTCTGTATAAAACTCCAGCCTGAAATGCTTGTGGCATTTCTTTAAGGAACACTGGCTTTAATTGACTTTAAGGTGTTTGTCTGTTGGGTGTTAACAGACCGACTTGTAGTTTTATTAATTTCTGCCGATGATTAATATGAATTTCATGATTGCAGATATGAAACGTTAAAATAAGTTTGTGATTACTGAGCTTCAATAGCATTTTCATGGCACCTTATTAAGAAATAGTTTAATTTACCTGAAGGAATCTTCCCAAGGGCTCAATAAAGTTGTACCTAACTGTATCTAAATGTTTTACGTGATTAAATTAAACTTTTTTGGGTAAGAATGCCTTTTTGAAATCAACCTGTGAAATAAGAACCGATTCATGTTCTGTACCTCCTTGTTCCTGCTCAGGAAAGCAGCAATCATGCCCAACACCACCTCTATGTTAACATTTTACTTTCACACARTCGGAACCACCTCAAGCTGGGAGATCCTACAATAAACAACTAAAAAAAAAAAACGTTTACAAGTTAAACTGGTCAATATTGTAAATAAAAACAAAATGAGTTAATTAGATGGTCTGATTGGGAATGATTAATCAAACTGTTCGTATGATTAGCTTTGACTACAGTTTGTTACAGAACATTTTCTTAAGACAAGAAAACTAAACGTATTCACAGCAGCTACTTTTCATGAAAACACGGGTCATCCTGCTACTAAAAGACCTGAAGTTAATCAGTTACAGCTTTTTCTTCTGATCAGGTTATATGCAATCAGGACGTAGGTGACAAATCATGTTACCTCATCCAGAAAATCTGAATGAATTGATTATTCTTATAGATCACAATTACATCAAAAACTATAACAAAAAATAACTATTTATTTTATTAGTCATATTAATTTAATATTTAGACAGAAATAAAGTTTGGAATACATTTCTGGTTGTTGATACAGTGATAAGTGAAAATGAAACAGACATGTCAGTATTATGTAGAATAAGACAGGCATTCAGTTTGAGAGAATTATTTTAAATACAATATTTTTTAAGTTGAAATATAAAACTGACATACCTTTCTACTGCTTGCTTGTCTTACCGAGGTCTCTACTAACAGTGTGAGGCAATAAGTTTTTAGTTGTAAATAAATGCTGACAGACGCACGCCTCTGTGGGAAAACCAACGGGGAGGGACTTCCAGTAATTTCCTGGGAGCTCATAAACATAACTCTCCACCCAGGGGACATATAAACAGATTAAATGTTATCCACAGGAGCCATAAAAGGACAACATGGGATGTCATATAAAATGTATTTCAATAAACCTATGGAGTCAGTATAACGAGGACAGTGGCGGATTTAGACCGTTTTTACTTCCGCATTGTTACCCTAGAAAATATCATTGGATGTCAACACCATTATAAGTGACGTTAAATACGTTCTCTTTTTTGTTTGTTTTTGGGTCCTGTGGGAACTTGCCCCTCCATTAGCGCTATCATCGTGTTCCCCTCTTAACCGGGGAACACAGTTTGACACAACACCGGTCCGCAGAGCCGCCCCAGCTCGGATCTGTTGGCGACAGAGGAAGGATCTGCCTGCGGTCTGAAGCACCATAGCGCTTTAATAATAAAGCCGAAATATTAGCAACGTTGTTCTCTTCAATATATATAAATTACAGCTTTGTCAGACTACGCTGTGCTGAGAAAATCGTAATTTAATCAGAAGTACGGAAGTAAAGTCAAAAGAGCCCGCTGATAACGCGCGGGATTAAGCACGTCTTTAATGGGCCGCGTTTCAAACATTATTTTAGACTCGTTTCGCCATCTTACAAAAAGAATTAAAAATATAAAAATGAGAGTAACTTTTTTGACCATTCGGCTGCTTAGAAATACATTAAGGYGACACGGAAGAAGAGAAATAAAGARTWCAGGGTGTGTTCCGGAGAACAAAATGAAATTGGACTTCACCTGAGCTGTATGACTTGTTTCATGCATCCAGCTCCCACTTGATGGGCGTTAACCAGGGCCAGCTTAACTTGGTGTATGCACCAGCGTTCATGAGCACCACTCCAACTTTCCCCCTGGCAGCTGTCAGTCAAGGATCAACAAGGGATACGCCCCCAAACTAAACGTCAGCTTGAGGTCACGTGGGTCACTATTAGTTTGGATCAATYAGCAGTCGCAAACATTTATCTGTGATAATGACTGACAGAAAACCTGACAARTTACAAAACTATTTWTTTCAGCCCRTCATGTGACCTCTAAAATGACAGACCCCCACACAAACGCTGTAGACCCCTGGGCCCAGGTATGTTTGTGTATTMAGGTGGCCCAATCACTGGTCTTTTTTTCATCCTTATATATTCCCATCCATGTTTCCATAGAAACACAAATCTCTCCATAATATAGAACAAGGAATCATCAATTACACTTAAAACTATTTTGAAGTAACTTAAAAAATGCTGAGGTTTAGAGTTGCTATGGCGTCTCTTGTAGAAGTGGGTTTAATGAGACATTATTGATAAGCTAATGATAGTTTAAAACTAAATATATTGATGTCTTAAAATAACTCCAATCTTCATCATTAATGTTTAGYGTTTTTGAAAATATTATTTAAATCTTTAGATCCAAATTTTATTCATGTTGCACAAATAATTCTATAAAATAAAAAACAGCTGAATGTGGAACTTTTACAATTAAAAATAAACATAGCATCCTATGTAATTAGTTGTGTGATGCAAAAACATCAGTGATGAAAAACTTCATAAAATAGCATTCACATGAATCTTGTTCAGTTTTGAATATTGTAGTTTTATGACAATGAAGTAGTCATACCATGAAGGATCATAAGACACAATCAATTAAGCGTTTATGTTAAAATGTTACAATGTATTAAGAGTTACATGTCGTCATCTCAAGTAAAACAAAGTATCTACCTTTAAAATACTTTCTCAGTATTAATCTTAGCATTGCTGATTTAGAGTTTTATAAGAAACCCGAGAAAGAACAAAGAAATGCACAAGACTAGAACAGAATGTTTATTTAACATGAGCAAAGATGGTATCAATGCAAATTACATGAAGCAGAATTAAGTAGTTACAAAAAAATACTTATTTTCTGACAATATTTTGACACTAACCCCTACGTAGATTCCACATAACAATATTTTGTTAATATTTTAAAATGAAATAAATGTTAACATGAAATAATTTGCTTACTTATGGACGTACTTTCTGATCGCCTTGGACAACTGTTCCTCAAAACTATCCAKGTTGCTTGGACAAACAACGTACAGCTTCTGACGCAGAATAGTTGAAGATGCACTTTTCGGCATTTCGTAAACAAACACACCCACACGCTTCTGATGAATCACACAATAATTTCGAATGTGAAACATGCAAAAGGTTTGCCTGGGGGCTTGAGCGAGAAAATTGGGTGGACAAAACAAGGCTAAGAGCAAAATGAGTCAAATTTTGTCACACAACTGCGTCATTGATAGCAGATTTATCTTTAGACCTGTTTTTGGATGACAACCACTGCACTCTCAAAACCTACTAGAAACCTGTTTGAACATGTCGCAGGATAATACCACTACATGACTTTTAGCATTTGTCAAATAGGGGATTCCTGCTCTTTTATTTTACTTCCCTGAAGTGTTTTTCCTTTGCTTACAACATGCTGTCATGCTTCCTTGGAACCATATCAAGTATATCAAGTGTATTTGGTTGTCTCCATAACCTTGTCAAGATCACAGCTTAGACCACACATATGAGGACAGTGTGGACAGTCCTGCTTCAAATTCTGAACAACCAAGCCCCACCGGTGTGTCCTGTCCCCATGGATTTGCTGCCTTCAACCACCATAGTCTCCCCAGGATCCTGACACACTTCCAGGATGGCCCACTGTAGTCCTCGTCAAGACTTTGGAAAAATCATCAATGTTCATATTTTTTACATTCAATTGGGATTGTCAGACATAAAAGTACACACATAAAAGCAATACTAAAGAAATATTTTAAATGTGCAAAGTAGAATCCCTTCATTTATACTGAAGATACTGTCTGTAAGTGCTCATCTTGTTCTACAAATAGTTATGGAAAAAGATTCAGTTGATGATTACTTTGCGGTACATATGGGTATTTATCGTTTTGAAGTAGTTTGACCCAGCAATAAATCTTTGCTGTTCAGATTTGTTTTCAGCTTGTTTAAGAGAATAAAAGTGAGCAAGTAAGAATTCCTTGTCATAAATTAGAACAATACGCAAAGGCTCAGATCTCTTTCCTCCACCGTACACATAAAAGTATGGAAAAACCTTCCCTGTGAAGCTCACCCTTGTAAAAGACTGAATATGCAACTTCTCATCTACATCATAGAAAGACACTCTGCCTTCCTCATAGTCCAAATAAAMCCCAATTTGTCTTGGCCTGGGACAGAGGTGGAGAACTTTTTTTTGGTGTCTCATAAGCATAATCAAATTTCATATGGAAAAGAATCCATTCTCTGTTTTCACAGCAACCTTACTACTGTAGATCGGTCAACTGTTTCCAGAGCAATCTTAAAACTTCTTCCTAGTTACTAAACACTTAGTTATTTWWATGTCTTTACAGACATACCTGACATGTTTCRATGAGTACTTCCRTCTTCATYAGAAGTGTCACAGMTGATGTGACAAGATAATAACATGTACTTAATGCAGAACCATCACAGGGTCACATAGAGACAAACCACTCACACTCTCGTCCACACCTAGATCAATATTTACTGTAGGTTGACCCTGTAGGTTGGCTAGTCAAACAAGCAGTGGTGGGCAACGCTAATTCAAAAGTTAGTTCTGCAAATCCTAAAGCACYAGTTAATTTATTTAGTTCTGCCATTTCTAAAGCGCACGTGTCATAAAAATTTCAGCGGAAGCTAATTCAAATCCACRAAATTGTCTCAGTTCACCAGAATATGTAATTCCAGTGAAAACATGAGCTATTCTTGCACAATGCTGCCAACTAGTGGCAGAACAAATTGCTTTCATCCCATTGGCTACCACATTTCGTCGYGCTTTGAGGAAGTGATTTACAGAAACTGACTTTGGACTCACGGTGTTAAAATAAAAAGTTCTTGTGGATTGCAAATTCTGCTGCTTCTTGGTCATTTTTCTTCTGTTTATGGTAGGGCTTCGGTAAGTAATTTTAAACTATTTATTAGAGAACTGAAGCAATGCATTCTGGGTAAAGTATGAAGTAAAGGAAAACGTCTTCACATCAAAATAAGAGCGTGAATTTAAACCRTGCCGTGTGTAGCTTCAATACGGCGTGAGACAGCGGGTTGGTGGTTGTAGATGCAGCGTGTCATAAATTATTATAATTCCTCCCTCTACCCTCTCAAAGCTCATAAGTATATAAACAACAATAATTATGGCTGGATTGTTAAGGAAACTTTTATTTATTTTTTGTTAACTGTTGTTCTAGAAAAAAAAGACGTGAACATCAACTGAATAGGATTAAAGCAGCTGCTGATCTAGCTCTTTTAACAACTGGCCTCAGACAAAAATTATTTTAAACAAATAACATGAATTAAAGGCTGCTGGTGCCTTTTCTCAAGTGTCCCTCGCTGTGTGTGCATGATTATGGGCAGATTTTCACAGTGCTGTTGTGTTAGAAAAAAAGCCATTGTGTCTTATATACTGTATATATATATATATTTTTATTTATTGCCGAAGTGTTTTTTTTTATAAATAGTTGTGTAACCGTGGGCGGCCAGTTTGTAGCAAAGCCAGTTTTGCTGCATTTCTCAAGGAGAAGGTTTGCCTTTCCTCTGTCTGCGCTGATCAACTGGAAGCATTTTTTTCCCTTTTCAACTGGCTGATGTCAAACGCGTAAGCATGCTTAAAACTTTTTCCTAGTTACTGGACACTTAGTTTTTTTTATCTTTACCGACATACATGACATGTTTCGACGAGTACTTCCATCTTCATCAAGCGTGCTGCTTACCCGGAACCATCAAAAAACTGCAGGATTGAGCGTACTTCGTGTGGTTGGAACCTGGAAACACATTTCAGCCGAACCTCCAATCAGAACCTCCAATCAGAACCTCAGATCAGAACCACAGCGGGTGCGCCGCTGGAGAAGGGTGGGGGAGATTTGCTCCTCCAATTGTGTCCCACCACGCAAATAATTGTGGGAAATGTCTTAATTTCAGAACCGTCATGCTGGACAGTTAGTTATACAGTAGAAAAAAGCTCTGTGTTATTTTATCAAACTTCTGAGAGGGCGCTGTTGTTTCCACATGGTGTTGGTCACTGACAGCACACCCTCTCTGCTGTTCAAGAAAATAAATTCCTTAGGGAAGTTTTTAACTGTAATATCAGACAACATTCTGCCCCAGTTTTAAAATGATGATAATGGATAAATTACGGAGAAAATCTTAGATTAGCTGTTCTCAATTATACAATTAGAAAGCACAAATCCGCAAACAGTAGCGTTGGGCAATATTGGCAAAAAAAATAAGCACGATTAATTGTGGTATTTAGCTGATAACGATTATTTTGACGATTAATCCCCTGGAGTCCCTAGACACTCTTATGTCCTGGTCACATGACCT